AGTTCCAGAGCGAGCTGGATGACTGGGTGGGTGGGTGGAATGAGAAGCCTCTGCTCAGAGGGCAAGTCTGGCAAGACAGTATTGCCACTGTCCTCTGGCAAGCCCCCATGGACTCATTTCTTAGTTCTAGGGAGAGGGGCTCAGAGCGGAAACAGTGGTTGTCACATAAAATCTTAGTGAGATGGAAGTCTAAAGTTGTCCCTTTAGGGCCATCATGTAAGAAAGTGGCCTCAAGATATATTTCAGCAGTTTCAGCACAGAGTGGCCTTGGCATCAGATACAGTTCACAAAGATATAAGAAATAAAAGGGCATAGATAGCACTCTTTTTATACAATAGAGGCCTGACTGGTGACATTAGCAGAGGGAGAATGAAGGATTCTAAGAGGACTACCCAAGAGTGTTCCCTGGTCATTTCCAGAATATAAAGGAGTCTGTGGTAGAAGGGAACTGAAAGTTTCAAAATATTGATCATATCCATTAAGTAAGCCATTGTATTTAAAATAGCTATGACATCATAATGCACAGGGCTCTGATTGCATCTGATTTTCTAAAAAAAATCTCTGTTCATAATTTTGGTAGAAACATTAAATGAGTGTTCATCTCAGTGTATCACATCAGTCAGCTTGTCACATTAGTAATTGTGCTAAGTGTCATCCTTTGGTCAAGATGGTGACTACCAGATCTCTTCATGGTAAAGGTATCTTTCCTTTTTGTAATTACTAAATATTCTTAGGGTGGTACTTTCCAACCTTTTGAATATCCTTTTTCCCAACCCCTTTCTTTGTAATGGTTTTATCTTCCATTGATGAGTCCTGTCTAAATCAATTATTACTAAAATGTTTGTCAAATGATGGTATTTTCCATTTGTACCATCCTTTTACATTGACTAGTTGGCATTTTTCTACAAAAAACTTTCTTTTCTATCTCCCTTAAAATGTTTTGTGTTTATATCAATATAGATGGATAAATTCCTTTTTATTTAATATAATATCATCAATCCCTGAATTATTCATTTGAGGCTGGCATTGCCCCAGATTTGACATGGAGCCCTCTTTAAAATAGATTCTAAGGCACTTTCTTCATCTTCTAGGGGTGGAATCTGGGGTTCTACATATATAACTGGCTACTTAGTCCTACTTATGCTCATTAAAGTTTGCAACAGAGAGGTGAAGCCCTTCCAAAGAACCATTAAAGGGGTATCTGTCTCATAGGGATGGAGAGGGACTAGTAAGAAGTAGAGAGGCTGGAAGACAAGATACCTACTAATTCTTGCTAAGTTACAGCAACGTTTATCTGAATAATGGGAATCATTTGCTTTCATTCCCAAAGGTGAGATTGATATTTGGATTTGAACATTGATATAATCAGGAAAAGGCCTGGATCAAGATGGTGAAAAGCACACTCTGTCATTTCTGCTGAAAACTCCCAATAAAACCCAGAAAAGACATGAAAGAGAGAAAATAAACAGATGTATAGCAGCATGAGGAAACTAAAAAAGTACCAAACAGTTTAAGAAAGTTCTGGAAGATAGAGAGCAGAAAGAAATGCATGGCAAAAAAAATGGGGGGGTAATTGAGCTTGTGTGTTAATGTTGGATTCCTCCCAAAACCTTACTAAAATACAGTAAATTAGAAAAAAAAGTACAAACCCACAAGGAAAAAAATAGTAGGTACTGAGGCAAGACTGGACTAGTGATGTCAATAATATTTTAGATGTTGCCTGGCATAGGAGAGAAAGAGAAAGTGATTCCACACTTGGAAAAAAAGGCAAAATTATAATAGACTGATTCCTGATATCTCAAGGAAACACGTTCTCAAACCCTGTTTGAATAAAAGCAGAACCTTGTGTCCTGGGGAATGTAATTCCATTGCCATAGTGTATTTAATTGAGACATAGCTATTGAAGGCACAGCCAGTTTTATGGTCCTATATAGTTATAGTTCAACTTTAGAAACCAATAGTTTCTATGGTTTTATAGCCTGGATGTGTGGATGTACACAAGGATTTTATTGCCCTGAAGAAAGTTAACCAATCTTGACTCTTACCTAGCAAATTGTTTTTGGAATTCCTTTCATTAGCTCCAACAACTTATACTCTCTCTCTCTCTCTCTCTCTCTCTCTCTCTCTCTCTCTGTTTTTCAAGCACTGGCAAAACAGTTTTGTGTTTGTTTTTTTGTCTACCTGCTGGTTCCTTTCTTGACAAGTTAAATCAAATGTTGACAACTTCTCAGAATCTTTAGTTTCAGAATTTTGCTCTAACATTACCTGCAGTTTCCTCAGTTCCGCTAAGTAGATAGGGGTGAGTCAATAAGAGGAAAACCAATTTGTGCTTCAGCACCTCAGAAAGGCTGAGAGATTGGAAACACCACATATCTCTGATGTCAGGGGTGAGGGCTGGTGCTGGAAATGGAGGACATGGTTGAAAATCTTGGCCCTCCTCTACCAGGACAGAAAACTACCGTTTGTCATCTGGAAAAGTTGGACCCCAAAGTTCTCAGCTTAAGGAGATCTGGCACAGCTGAAGGTGAGGTGGGGAAATGAATGAAGGCTCTAGCTGCACCAGGGCCATGTATCTTGGAGTGCTTATTAAATGTATAAATCCACAGCACTGCTCTTCACCCTTCTGAAGGAGCAGATCCTGGGACACTGCCTTTGCCTGGATTCTCTAGAGAACAGAGCAAGAGGTCTTAATGAAAGTGTCGTTGAGAACAACAAAGTTAGGGAAGGAGACAAAGCAAATGCGAGGTGGCATATTACTGGGCTTGCTGCAGCTTCAAGAAAACACACCTGGCCCTGCCTGGGTTGATCAGTTGATTGGAGTGTCATCCCACACACCAGAAGGCTACAGGTTCGATTCCTGGTCAGGGCACATACCTAAGTTGCAGGTTTGATCCTGGGTCGGGAGCATGTGGGAGGGAGGCAGCCGATAGATGTTTCTTTCTCATCTTCCCCACCCCTGTCTAAAAATCAATTAAAAAAAAAAAAATCTTCCAGTGAGGATTAAAAATGAAAAGAAAAAGAAAACATACCTGGTTGCTTAGTTACACAGGAGTCTTCCTAAAAGGTTGTGCAAACCCACCAGGTCTTGAAGTGGTCCACTGAGGGGCGAAAGGGAAAGAAGATTATTCTCTGGCTCCTTTCTGCCTCTTAATTTTGCGCTGGCCACATTTCCCCTGTGGGGTGTTAATCGTAGCCTGGGAATATCTTTCACTCCTATAGAAGGGGAGGTCAAGTTACTGCCTGACAGGTTCACTGAGTCATGCATGGGTGGTAAGAAAATAGCAAGTCCCTTAAATGAGGAAATGCTGGCAGAGAAAAATTAATTCACAGAATTTGAAGGTCATAAATCAAGGCGTAATATTAAAAATATTTCACAATCTGTATGTCATGGGCACAGCTGAATGAGAAATTATTGTAAGTATTACAAGACAAAGAAAGTCAGTATTGTGTTGACGACCTTAGGAACCAAGAACCTCAGTCCAGGAGAAAAAAACACAAACATAAAACCCAAAGAAGTTAAGCAAAACTTCGGAGCCCTAAATTTGAATTCAGAATATTAGTTTGAAGCTAAGATGTATTTTCTTAAAAAAAAAAAAAGATTATTTTCTAGCTCTCTCTATATTTTTAAAAAAACCAAAAACAACAACCAAGTCACCAGGAATGAGTATCCCATTTTTTCCTCTGAAAAGAACCAGGGCAGCTTGAAGAAATGTCTGATTCCATGTCTCGGGCAGAAAATGTACACAGAAAGCCCTATACATCTTGTATTAGAAATAAAATTTTTTAAAAAACCTATAAAATACTATGGTAGGAACCAAGCTGTCATAGGGGAAAATTTGAGCAACTAAAAGAACAGTAACTACAATGAACTGAAAGATGTCAAGTACATTACTCATCAGATCATAATGATAATCAAAACAATAGAAACCAAACCAAACCAGAAGCTTTGAACCACTTTGGAGGATGCCAGGAAATCATCTCATTATTCTGAATACTTGTAAATAAAGGTAAATGAGCACTTTTACAGCTTTTACTGTACGAACTATATACCTGAGGGTAACTGAATAGTTGAAGAGGGAATATTATTCTTTATAGAACAATCACGGCCAATAAATGTATAAAGGATGATAGATTTAGGGTAAAGTATTAGATATTATAAATATTAGAATAAAAATAAAATAATGGTTCTAAGCTAGTTCTAGTATAACTTTCTACATTGATGAAAATATTCTATATTTGCATTGTTCAATACAGAAGCCACGAGCTATGGAGTACTTCAAATGTGGCCAGTGTGACTAAGGAATTTAATTTGTAATTTTATTCAATTTTCATTAAATTTAAATAGGCACATGTGGCTAATTGCTATTGTACTGGACAGTACAGTTCTAGGGCATGATTGTCTTTGGCTGCTAAAATCATTAGGTGAAAGACTGGTGGGTAGTTTATAATGGATGGATTAGAATGCCTGCCCCTGAATTTACAGATCAATCTTAAAATCACAAAAAGAGATAAACAGACATTGTATCTCCCAATGTGATGCAGTAGGCAGTATATAATACTACCCACGAAGTAATCTTACCAAAAATTCAAATCTCAATCTGATCGAGATTCTAGATCTAACTACTAGTTTAGGAACTGTAGGGAAGAGATAGCATGATAAACAGCATTACAGTGAAAGAGATCAGGGAAATATAGAATGTGGTAAACTCCTCAGAACAAACAATATGATTTATTGTGGTAACCAACACATATGGTCACAGTATCCCACACTGCAGCATTAGACAGAATCCGTGAGAAGGTGGCAGGCTGCACATGTGTGAAGCTGGCTGGAGCCTATGCAGAACTGAGCGAGGCAGCAATGACTGGATTAAGAAACAGGTGAGCCTGAGAGGATCTGGCGGTGTGCACAGAGATGTTGGGCAGGATGGGGTGGGGGGAACCAGGGAAATTTGAATGCCGACAGGATATTGAGGAATTATTGTTTTATTGTCAACTTTTTGTGTGATAATGGTATAGTGGTTATGACATTTCTTCAGACCATATCTTTTAGAAAGTCACACTGAAGTACTTATACATGAAATAACATGATGTTTGCAATTTCCTTCAAAATAATCCAGTTGGTAAGGAAGAGTAGATGGAGGCATAGTTGAAACAAGGTTGCCCACAAGTTCTATGCTGATTTTTTTAAAACTTCACTAACATTCCTGTCTTCAGAAGGTAGAGCCTAATTTCCCTCCCCTTGACGGTGGGGTGCAGTGACGTGTTTCTAATGTATACAAGGTGGTGGAAGTAATCTTGTGGGTATCCCGACACTAGATCCCAACAGTCATTGAAATTCCTACCTCATTCTTTTCTGGATCATCTTGGGGGGGGGGGCGCGGAAGCCACCATGCCCTGAGGACACTCCAGCAGCTCTATGGAAAGGTCCACGTGGCAAGAAACAGATGCCTTCTGCCAACATCTTATCAGCCATAGGTGACAGGTACCTTGGAAGAGATCCTTTAGCCCCAGTTAAGTAAGGCTTGAGATGACTACAGCCTCATGACAGAGCCGGAGCCAGAACCACTCAGTTAAGTCACTCCTGAAATCCTGACCTACAAATAGGAGATAACAAATGTTTATTACTATTTTAATTTGCAGAGTTGGGATAATATGTTACGCAGCAATGGTCAACTGAAATGAGTTAGTAATTGTTCAAGCTGGGTGTTGGGTTCATTGTACTATTCTATTTTTGTGTATGTTGATGTTTTCCATGATAAAAATGAAATATTGAATTCCTGTATTATATATGATATAAATGATTTCTAGATGGATTAAAGACTATCTGTAAAAAAGCAAAAATGCCTAGTAAATTATCATCTTTGTTACCTCAAGATAGAAAAGAATTTCTTAAACAAGACACAAAAGGCACAGACTATAAAGAAAAGATTGTTAAATTCACCTACATTAAAAATAAGAACAATTTATTGAATTATACCATAAAGGAGCTGAAAAGATAAACTACAATTTGGAAAATATTTGCCGCACATATAATGAAGACAAGATTAGTATCTAAATATATAAGTAACTCCTACAAATCAATAAGAAAAAAATAATAGAACAAAATAGAACAGTGGTCAAAGGATGAGAATGCACAATTCACAGAAGGGGACACCTAGATGACCAATAAACAAAAGATTGATCAACCAGGATCTGCATGTCTGTGTTGGTCCCCATGAGTAATTAACACATACTCCCCTAGTAGCCCTCAACAGTGAATGACTGGATTTGGTATATAAATACCCCTAAATACTCCAGCCCCCTTGCCTCTAAGGCATGTGTCCCACACCATTACCCAGAGTTTCCCCTGTAGCATTAAGCTCCAATTGCTCACACTAGTAACTAGCTTGATAAGTAGACTTTATTGACTTCCTTTCCCTTCCAGGTCTCCCTTCCCCACTCCCCACCTGCTTCCTGGAGTTAAGACCCATATTAATCCTTGCTGCAGGGCTTTCTTCTGGGGACACCTAAACTAATAGAAAATTGTTGAAGCTTCCTTGCCAGTATGAGACAGAGTTTGAGTCCTGGCAACAATGTGGGAACTTTCCACATGAAAAAAAATCTGTAACCTGCCTTGAAATGCATATGAGAGAAGGGGCCTGAAGGCTTCATGCCAGTCTTGAGGGTAGGGGCAATAGGCACAGACTTCAAAGCTGTCCCAAGCCCAGGACTGACTCACAGACTTCCTGTAGGTTTGCTTTTTTCTGTCCTTAATTAATGAACTTTGTTCATAATTAATGCCCTTGGCCCTGAATTGCTGGGGTTCATAGCTAAATCTTCCTTGTGCCTTGAGCCAGTTTTGATATGCCGATCTGGCTTCAGCCTATTTAACTTGGTAAACACTGCAATCTGGGCCACACCTCTAGTCACGGACCAGGCTTTTGGTCAGCTGCTTCTGTACACAGGGTTACTTGCCACCATCCTCCACCTTGGGGTTCCTGCCATAGTCACAGTATAGGTGGATGCAAGAACCACTTCGCCGTGAAGCCTGTGTTGCTGCCAGTGACGTCTCAGATAATGGGAGGTGGTGCCAGGGGCTCAGAAGCAACATGAGATGGAGACTTCTGTGTAGGATCAGAAGCCTTAATCACTACATTTGTGGTCTGTATCAGGGCCTTGGGCAAGCACTAGAAATAGAGATGGTGATTCTGGTGGCACCAGGACAGTGGGCTTTAATGGAAATTAGCTTGAGGAGGAGATGGCTTCTCTGGGAGCCAAAGCAGGAAAGGAGAAATGGACATCTTCTGTGGGTTTGCTATATTGTCTCAGTATTAACATCTCCCGTCATGGTGTTGGGTGTGTGTAGGTGGACTTCCAAATTCTTATTGCCTGTGTTAGTTATCTATGGCTATGAGACAATTTACCCCCAAATTTAGTGACTTATAACAGCAACGGTTTCTGAGTCAGAAATTCGAGGGCAGCGTTACTAGGCAATTCTGGCTCAAGGTCTTTCATGAGGTCACAGTCAAGATGTTGACCAGGGCTGCCAGCATCTGAAGCCTTGACTGAGGCTAAAGGATCCACTTCCAAAATGACTCAATCACAGGGTTGGCAAGTTCGCGCTGGCTTTTTTTTCTTTTTTTTAGTGTGTGTGTGTGTGTGTGTGTGTGTGTGGAGAGAAAGAGAGAGAGAGAGAAACATGAATGTGAGAGAGACACATTGAGTGGCTACCTCCCACTTGCACCCTGACTAGGCCCGAGCCTGCAACCGAGGTAGGTGCCCTTGGCTAGGATCAAACCTTCAGTCTGTGGGCTGACCTCTAACCACTGAGCCAAACCAGCTAGGGCCAAGCTGACTCTTAATGGGAGGCCTCAGTTCCTCCCCACTTGGGCTTCTCTACAGGCAGCAGACACATCCTCATTACAGGATGGCTGGCTTCCTCCTCAGCAAGTGAAAAGAGAGGAAGGGAGGGAGGAGAGAGAAAGAAAGAGAGAGAGAGATACAGAGAGGTTATCCTTTGAAAGACCTAGCCACAGGGGTCATATAGCATAATTCTATCACATTCTATTTGTTAGAAGTCTGGCCTTCTAGGAAGGGGAATTAAATTCCAACTTTTAAAGGGCATATCAAGGAATTTGTAGACATTTTAAAAAAGCACCACATTGCTTCCAGTTCAATAGCAAACTGTAACTTGGATTGTAAAGTTTTTTCCAGCTTCTATTTCAGATTAACGTTCTTCTCTTATAAAATCAGTGATGTACAAAATCAGTTGACCTAGTTGACCTGGCAGCACAGGGTTAGTTCCCCAAGTAGCTGGCAGAGCTCCTGGTGGCTTCCACAGAAAAGCCCCACAAAAACAGGAAGTGACCTTTATATCAGCTCAAGGGACAAGACCTTGGGAAGAGATCACCAATTTAAAGACAGACCACTTGAAATTTCTACAATAGAGAACTAAAATGTTTTTCCTGTACATAGATAAGATATTATGAAAAAAGTAATAGCATTAAAGGCAATTGGATTTGCTAAAGACAACACAAAGGACTTTAAATTAGAGGTTCCCAAACCGAAGCCATCCTTTTTGATAAAAATTTCTTGTAATTGTAAGTAACAACCTGTATTAGTTTCCTGTGACTGCTGTAACAAATTACCACAAACCCAGTGGCTGCAAAACTTCGTATGACCTAAACTCAGAAGTCCCAGCACATCACTTCCTCCACAGTCTATTGGTTAAGCAAACCCTAACTACAGATTCAAGGAAGGGGTGTGTGTGGGGGGGGATTAGGCCCCATCCCTCTATGTAAGAGAACTTGCAACTACCTTTAATATACCACACAGAAGTAGAAAATGTAGGAAACTCCTTGGCAACAACAATAAAGGAGAAAGAAGATAGCAAAATTCCCCTTCACCGGTCAAGGCAAGATTTTGTCTGTTTTTTAAGGACAAGATAATTTGAGCACTTTCGAAGGCTAAGGCAAAAGAACAAGCAGAGGGAATAGCTTGAGGGAGTAAGAAAGAATGTTTGCTGCATCAAGGTTCAAGGGCAGCCGTATTGCTCTTCTGTGTCTGCAAACCATTTCCTTGCCATCCATGAATGTTTGGTAAAATAATGTGCAACGTCACAGCCTGGGTTCAGTTTTGCTGTGGGGAGTGAAGGCAAAGTCTGATTCCACTTCTAGAAGACAGGAGTAAGGGGGGCAGTGCCTCCTGAAGCGAGGGCATGGCTCCATGTCAACCTCCCCATCTGACTGGGGTCTTGCCAGAGCCTAGGGCCATGTCTTCTATTTTCCTGCCCGGTCCTATACATTCCCATGTAGGACACCGCAGCAAAAAACAACCTGCAACCAGAATGCCAGCGGTAGGGCCTGGGCCAAACAGTAAGTTTCAGGAAGGAAAAGGAGAGATGTGTGGGTGGAAAGCTGAGGGTGAGGCTGTTGTGCAGTTCAGCTTCACCAGGCTTGCAGAGGAAGCAGATGAGGAAGGTCAGACCTGCGTAGGGATGTTGGGGTATACCCTAGAATCTAAGAATTCTGTGCTCTGAGGTAAAGCTGAGAGTCTGCACAGGTGGATGAGGGACATGATTTGTCTCTAAGCAACTGCAAGATGCCCAGACTCTGAGGCAGCTGCCATCAGAATATTCCTCACAGCATGGGTTTATGTCAGACAATGCTCTGGTTATCTATTGCTGAGTAACAGACCTCTCTAAAACTTACAGGCTTAAAACAGCAGCCACTTTTTCATTTCTCAGGATGTTGGATAAGGCACAGGAGGAAAAGCTTGCTTCTGTTCTAGGCTGTGAGGAACAGCCAAGCTGGCTGGAACAACTTAGCTGGCCTCTTCCCTCAATGACCGGTCCCTCAGCTGGGATGGATTCAGCAGGTTCATGCGTCTGGGCCTCAGTTCTCGGTGATAACGGCGTCCCTGCTTTTCTTCAACGTCATCTCTGCACAGGGTCTCTCTACAGCAAGGTAGAAGAGGGGGGGGAGCCGTTTAGCATGATCAAGGGCTCAGAAATCAAGGCTGCCAGGCGCTCTTAAAGCTCGGATCTGGAACTGGCACATTGTCGCTTCTGCCGCCTTCTATTGGTTAAGTGGAGACAGGGTCAAGGACCACACAAGGTTATACTGCCAGAAAGCATGTTCCATTGGGGGGAAGGGGGGATCAAAATAATAAACTACCTGACAAGAAGGGGTCTACAGGCAGACTTGCGTGGGCCGAGGGTGCTCCAATCCCTAACTTTGTGCTGCCCCCTCCTCCTCGGAGGTGATTGGAGGGCACACAGTGGGGAGTAAGATTAACCCCAAGCTTCCTCCACAGAATGGGGTCTGATCTGCTGCTGGGTCGGCCCGAATCAAGCGGATTCATTTAGTCTGTTAAGCATTTACTGAGCACAGTCTACGCACCAGGTTCTTCACACGCGTGTTATTTCGTTATTCCTGTTTCACAGGAGAAAACAGAGGCTCGAATGCAGCGCCTAGCACCACACCGCGACGCGGCCTCCCAAGCTCTCGTCACCCCGCAGTTAGCGCTGGGGCCGCGCGGGGACGCGGGCCGGGGCCCCGCGAGGGCGGCGCT